CACTCTGCTATACACACACAGCCTACTACACATATGCTGTTACACACTCTGGAAAACACACACACAATGATGAATAAATGAAAAGCCAACTCTAATATATGACCATTTACTCCAGAATAAAAGGCAGTCAGGTTTTATGCACGCCCAACAATAGATGTGAGGCAAGACCACCATTAATATATCAATTTTCAATATGAGTGATCAAAATAACATCTTCTAAAGAGCATCAGGAAGTGCAACATAATTCTAGAGTAACACATTTACAAAAGAACCATCATTTAAGTCCCATCTGAAGAGGGAGTCAAACTGCATGTTACAATTTAGCAAAAATAGCCAAAACGTATTGCATAAAAGGCACTCTATGAATCCAAGGTAAGCTTGGTATAACTCTTTTGTATCATGTTCAATTGATATATTTATGAGGCTAACATGTCCTTGAAATCCAGATATCACTGTTATGTCTTTACAATCTAAGGTCTATGACTGCAAGACACAACAAACAGCCAGCCATTACCTCCCACTGACCTTCCCTATCATCTCTAGGCCCAAAAGAATGAGGGAGTATGTCTCAAAAATTGACATTATATCCAGTATGTGTGGTTTAGAGGCAGTTATGGTGTAAACTAACTAGAGGAAACAGCACAGACAAAAAAATACAGATGGAAGGTTACTTAAAGGGACACTATGGTCACCAGAACAACTACAGATTATTGTATTTATTCTGGTGAGTATAATTATTTATTTCAGGTTTTTTTTGTATTAAACACTGTCTTTTTAGAGAAATTGCAATGTTTACATTACAGTCTAGGGATACCTCCACTGGTCACTCCTCTGATGGCTACTAGAGGAGCTTCACAGGGCAGTGCTGCACAGTGTGACTGCCATTCATTGTATCCACCCTTTGCATGCAGACACTGAACTTTCCTTATAGAGATGCTGATTGACCAAGGCTGTTTTTGACTTGTTTTGGCTCTGGCCTTGATCTGCCTCCTTGACAGTGTCATCCAATCACATTGAAAAGCATTGTGCTTGGCTCACAGAATCTCTCCTGATGATGTCAGCCAAGCAGGTAGATCAAGGGAAAATCCAGCAGCAGCATACTTGATTAAAATTAAGATTTTACTATATTTAGGAGGGCAAGGAGGAGCCAGGGGGATAATTGGTGGTTTTAACACTATAGGGTTAGGAATACGTTTGTGTTCCTGATCCTATAGTGTTCCTTTAAAATCTTGTCAAACAAGTTCCAAGGAGGCACCTGAAGTGGGGGTCTGGAATGCTCAACACAAAAAGAATGGGATAAGAGTGTCATCCTTGTATGAGATGTTTTTAATTTTTACAACGTTACAGCTGAAGCAAATGTTACAAATGTATACAAATTTCCATGAGTACTTCTTTACAACTAGTCTTACTTGAATCTGTTTTCTTCTGCATTGTATATTCTTTCCTTCGAGGAATGGTGTATTTTCTTCTGCAGTTAACATCTTCACATATGCTGACTTATTCTTTAGGTATTTTTTCAATATCCTAATATTTCTGCTATTTCTTCAACTGCTGAGGTTGTGTCATTAGAATTGCATCTCGATATAGTTTCTTTCTCTGGTTCCAACAGTATTTTGGTCAAGCCGTTCATCTGGGTCTGCAGGTAACATTTCCTTCTGTGTTGTCAAGGAATGTATGGTTTGATTGCTGGTTAATCGAAGTGCAACCTGTAGACTATTGATATTGTTATTAGCCCTCATGACCCAGGATTCCATATCCCTAACAGCGGTCACTATAGTCAACCAGTATTCCTTTAAAGGTTCTGTCTTCTAGGAACATGTTTCATTTAAAATGCAGACATTAGCTTTTCACTGAAGTCCCATGATGTGCGTTCTGTTTTGCTTTAAGCCATTGCACAATGTGTAATGACTTTTATTGACAGTATTTAATGGTAACCTGTTTTTCAAGTAGGTAGCTTTCATCTCTAAACAAAGCTTCATTATAACTTGTCTTTTCTCAGACATGTTTATGCTTCCTTAAGCACCACACCAGACATCATAAGCAGCGCAGACTCCACAACCACCGTAGCTTAACTGGAATCTCGCCTTCTTCCTCCCAGGTTCATGCTTTAGTATTGGAGGCTGGCAGCAGCATGCAGCAGTCCCCAGGTAAGAAGCTAAATCATTTAAAATGGTTTGACTACTTACTATAGTGTGATGCCGAGATACTCTTGACACCATAACCACTTCAGTGAGCCTTTCATGAATGTGACAGACTGGAGAGTAAATTGAACTGTAACAAGCGTACAGTCATAGGAAAAAGAAAGTATACCCTCTTTGAATTCTATAGCTTTACTTATCAGGACATAATAATTTATTAGCATCTCTTTATTAGCAGGACTTAAAATTAGGTAAATACAACCTCAGATGAACAACACATGTCATATTACACCATATCATTTGTTTAACAAAAATAAAGCCAAAATGGAGAATGTGTGAAAAACGATTTACACCTTATGATTCAATAGCTTGTAAAACGACCTTTAGCAGCAACGAGTAATCGTTCTGTGTATGACTTTATCAGTCTCACATTATCGTGGAGGAATTTTGACCCACTCTTCTTTACAACATTGTTTTAGTTCATTGACGTTTGCTGTCATTTGTTTATGCACAGCTCTCATATGTCCTGCAACATAATTTCAATCGGGTTTAGGTATTTGACTGGGCCATTGCAACACCTTGATTCTTTTCTTTTTCAGACATTCTGTTGTAGATTTTATGGTGTACTTGAGATCATTATCCTGTTGCATAACCCAAATTCTGCCAAGCTTTAGCTGTCAGACCGATGCCTTTGACTCAAGAAGTCTTTTGTATATTGAGAACTTCATGGCTGACAAGCCCAAATCATCACCCCATCACCACGATGCTTAACAGTTGATATGAAGTGTTTGTGCTGATAGGTTGTGTTTAGTTTTCAACAAACATGGCGCTATGCATTATGGCCAAACATCTCCACTTTGGTTTTGTCTGTCCAAAGGACATTGTTCCTGAAGTCTTGTGGTTTGTTCAGATGCTGCCATGTTCTTTTTAGACAGAAGAGACTTTCTCCTGGCAACACTTCCATACAAACCAAACTTGTTCAGTCTTTTTCTAACTGTCCTGTCATGAACTTTAACGTTTAACATGCTAACTGAGACCTGTTGAGTCTGAGATGCAACTCAGATTTTACAATTCTCTGAGCATTGCACAGTCAGAGTTTGGGATGAATTTGCTGGGACGTCCACTTCAGGGAAGATTGGCAACTGTCTAGCAGATTTTACACTTTTTAATAATCTTGACCTGCGCATTGTCGCCATATGGGCTAATGGAATAAAATCACCCATTATCTATACAAAAAGACACGTACACTGATGTTATATGTACATACAAAGTAGGCGGAGTGTAGTTGTTTCTTGGGTAGACAATAATTTATGATGCAGAAATAAATAGCGACGTACACTGAAAAAAAACAAAGGGGATAACCAAAACCTAGTGCAATATCGTTAGATGCAGGTTTATAGATAAAGGAACAATCTTTAGTCTTGTACTCACAAGAAAAGAGCCAGTGTCATTAGGCTCAATATGTATGCTTGTGGGAAAATTAGAAGGGATCCCACTCCCTTTCTGTACACCTGCTGGTAATGCGTCCTCTGGTCCACCTTATAGATCCACTAGATGTTGATCCACTAGAGGTATAACAATCCTTTATTGGTAACACGGTTAAAATAAAACACATATATAAATAAAAATTGGTATAAAGTCCACATATGGGTTGCAAGATAGGCTTCCTCAGTTGCTTGTAGTCCTCCTGGGTGGTTGGTCTATTATATATCCTCAATGATTGATGATTGAGATCACCTGTTTTTTTCTTACTTAATTTCCGTCTTCTCTATATGAAGTCACTCGTCGCGGCATCTATTCGTACTGCATTTCCGGTACATCTGTATTTGGAACGCATCCATGCATTCCAATCATTATCAAAGCTTTATTGTTCATATTTCATACTTTCAAATTGTAGTTTTAAGAGTCTCTTGTGTATATATATATATCGGAACAAAAAAGAAACAATAGATCAATGAATTAATGTTGGGTTAAAATTGTGATTAGACTATTTAGTATGTTGGTATTGGATAAAAACATAAAAATATATTTATATGTGCATAAATTCCTAAGCATGATCGTGATACTTTCAATATTCATGTAAGGTGGAAAAAAGGTATTCAGATATTATTCTGTTGGAGTATAAAGTCTACAGCTTTATTAATTAATATAAATACATAAATTAACAATTTAGGGTCATTGTCAACAGTACTCTTTTCGTTCCGCTCTATCCTGTACCATACCCCCGACAATGACCCTACCAAAGAACAAACATTAACATAACCAATAATACATAACATGTAACTCACGGCCTACCAAGAGGCCCCACTTCCATTTGTCTAACTGCAGGGGTGTACCCAGACACCCCTACACCCCTTGATTCATAGCCACCTATGGGCTGGAACCTACCTCCACACTTTTAACTCCGGCCTACTCCAGCCTAGATCATGGCCTACCAATTTCCTAACCCACCAAACTTCCTGTTTAACCAAGACCTTTTCCACCACAGCACTTGCCTTGACCCATTAAGGACATGTGTGACCCCCACCACACAAAAACAGGGCTTGCGCCATACCTTCCTGCAAACCTAAGTTAAAAAGGTCACAACCTACATCCGAAAGTACCCGGGTAACTTTTCCTCCAATTCCCAATGGCGCACATCTACCACTCCTAACCTACGAACAAACACCACCATGGTCTTGTTTACCTTACCCCGACATCGAGCAACTGCAGCTGAATCCCTGGCGTGTCTTCAGCTCAACCTAGGCACCATCTCCGACCATACCACCTTTACGCCAGGGATCAGCCCCCGCAGTCGATCCACATACTTCTTCATTCGTTTAACCAGTTCATGTTGGGGGACCAAACCTGTCGTTTACCCCCCCATGAACTACTACCACATTTGGTAAAGCCTCCTTCGCAATCTTTTGAAACATCGGTATACTAATGTGCTGCCAATCAAACCCCCGATAACCAAACCAGGATAACGCCACCCGTTCCACAGGAAAGCCCAGCTGTGTTCCGTTTCTTCGAACTGCGTCCCTCTTCTGTGCCCAATAGACATACAAATGGCCAATTATCCACACCGTCCAACCTAAAAGAAAACACAACAGCGATAAAGCAGCATATACTCCCCCAAACTCCCCCCACTTTGTCCACCTCCTCACACCAGTCTATCCGGCCGCACATACGAGCGGAACCTTAGTGATTCCCATCTCCCCATCCGTTTAATCCGTGCGTCTCCTAAGCCCAAGTGCTCCACTTCTGTCGCTGCACATATACGGAATGAATGTGTTCCGAACTGCATAGGCTCCAGTCAGCGCTGTGCCGTCGGCATGTATAAAGAAACATCCTTTCACTTCCGGTCGGTTTTCCAAAAACCTGGCCCCACTCGCCACTGCACACAACCCAGACCCCGGTAATTCAAACAACGTGACCATGGAACCTTTCCCGAAGACATCCGTATTCGTGCGAACCAGTCGTATCTTTACCCTGTCCCCACCAACCGTCACGTCTTCCAACCTGAGCCTGCCAACCCCCTTCTTGTTGGCGCTAACCAATTCTCCTATCCGAAACGCTCCAAAAAAGGCCATGAAAATGCTACAGCAAACAACGCCACTTCGAACGCGGAAAAACATATCTCAGGTAGCTTGCCTATCAACGCTTGCAATACCGTGAACGAAACTGGCCTTCTCGTATCTCCTGTTTTCTTACCCTTCTTGAATCCCTGTATCGCTTGCCTCACTATAAAATGCTTTGTCACGTCATCCCAGCCATTGAACTTGAACAGGAATGCTAATGCTGACAAGTGCCTATCCACCATCGATGGCGATGATTGCGGCATAGGATCCATAACAGCACGTCCAGCCGATTGTTCACAAACCCCTCCACCCCTAACTGCTGCATTGTTTCTTCCCAAACCTTAACGTATGAGTACCAAGTCCCAGGCGCCAAAGACTTATTTATGTAATCCCCAAGCAGGACGTCCCGAGCTGCCACATCTCTGCTGGACAAGCTTGTCCCGTTTCCTCCGGCGCCGCCTCCCGAAAACACTCCCACATGTAAGTGAGACAGTGCATCAGCGACTACATTGGTTAGTCCCGGAATATGTCTAGCTCAAAACACAATATTAAACGACATGCATAAGAGTACTAATTGTCTTAGTAACCATAACACCGGCCACGAAGAAGCAGATAACCCATTGATTGCCTGCACCACTGCCATGTTATCCAAATTGAATACCACTCTTATTGGCTAGCTCTGAACCCCATAATGCGACCGCTACGACCACTGGAAAAATTTCCAAAAACGCCATGTTCCTAATCAATGGGTTTGCTTTCCAGGCCTCAGACCACCTCTCCGCGCACCATTATCCTGCTAGGTATGCCCCAAACCCGACGCTACCGGATGCGTTTGTAAACAAGCCCACGTCTTCCAATGACCCTACTGGTTCCCGAAAAAACACTCTCCCGTTAAACTCCTGCAAAAACCTCGCCCATACCCTCAGGTCCTCTTTCATGTCTACCGACACTCTGACATAATGCAATGTTTTTTTCACCCCGCTCGTCGCCCGCGCCAATTGCCTGCAGAAGACCATCCCCATGGGAATTACCCAACATGCTAAATTCAGGCTCCCTATTAACGACTGAAGCTCACGCAAAGTGACCTTCCCTGCCTTCCTAACCGTGTCCACCAGTTGCCTAATGGCGTGCAGCTTGTCCCAAGGCAACCTGCATTCCCTTCGTACTGAGTCGATCTCCAACCCCAGAAAGCTGAGGCACGTAGTGGGCCCCACCGTTTTGTCCTCTGCTAATGGCACCCCGAACGTATGCGCCACCCACTGAAAGACCTGCAATATTTGGCTACAGTGCTCCGTTTCTGGCGGGCCGACACATAAAAAATCGTCAAGGTAATGCACCCCCTGCCGATTCCCGCCGTACCACCCACTCCAAAAAGGTGCTAAGCCTCTCGAAGTAAGCACATGAAATGGTGCATCCCATAGGTAGGCACAAGTCCACGAAATACCCCCCTTCGATAAATGATGAATCATACGGAATTTACCAACCTCCTTCTTGGGGACCACCCCAAGTGGAGACACTTGCAAATCTACTAATGGTGGGGAAGCGAATGGCCCAGCCGTCCTTCCCAATTGAACTTCCTTGCATAACTTTTTTCTAGCTACCCCTGGATGCTCCCACTCCGAATGAAGATTTTCATATAACTCACCCGGACCCTTGTCTTGAAACGGAATCACGAAACCCTCCGTAAAGCCTAGCCATAAGAACCTCGCCACCTCTTGTTTAGCGTATAGTTTTAACCAAGGCAGCATCGCGCCTACCTTCACCGGTGACACCCCCAGCCGCAGTTGTGGTGGCTGTTGAGCTGGTGGCACCCCCCCCCCCCATGTTCGGCTTACCTTTCTTAAAGCATCTTGAGACTCCGTGATTACCCCCGCAACCGGAGCACTCATGCTTGAATCTGCATGGGGCACCCCACTAAGATATAAAAGGCCCTCAACCAGTTCCCAAAAGTCTTGGGTATCTTCCGATACCTCCGCCTTTTTTCCTCCTCCTCCTTCTTTGCATCCTCCTCTTTCAAGTCTAAAAACTCTTCCAGGGGAAGCAGTGAAAATATTTCCACAAAGTCCCCTTTCCATATTTTATCGTTAACCTCCGCCTTTAAATGACACCCCAGCGCTCCCGCAAAAGAAATGTGCATGTTTTGACGTGCTGCATCCGATACTTCCCCGCATCGATCTTCATGCTCACCTGCGCCTTCCGTTGCTCCTAGAACTGGTTCTGTGGCACCCTCACCCACCTTGGTTGCTGCCGCCACTGGGGGCCTAACCCCCGCCTCCCGACCACCTTCCGCAGCCCACACTCTCTCGAACTGTGGTGGTGACCCCCTGTCCCCTGACCATGATTCTAATAGTGATCTTAAACACCCTAGTAAACTCCCCGAGTGTGGTGCAGTTGGTGACTCACAGCTTAGGCCCCTGGCCACCGTTGGCCGCAGGGGCGCCATCCTTTCTTCCGCCTCGACTGGCTCAGAAGTAACCAGGAGATGTCGACTCCTGCCCACCTGTTCATGTTTTGATCTTGTGGGTGTCCTACTCATCGACCTGCAAGGAGAATATAACCTGGGTGGTCTGTTCGACTACAGCCTCACCCGCCCTTCGTCCCTGCGCTCCGACCTGTGACCCCAACTCCCGCACCTATGTTCATCCCGCTCGCTTCCTCCCCTCCTCTGAGCAGCGTAGCTCCTCTCTGACGATCCTGACCTACTGCGCCGGCGCCTCAGCCCCCTGTCCTTGGAATTGGACCTTCTCCTACTGCTCCGGCTCCCCGCTGGGCTCCTGTCCCCGTTCCTCCCACTGCCTTCGGATTCCTTCCTGCTGAATTGCCAGTTCGCCCTGCCGCGCTGTGTTCCCCTGTCTTCACTACTGCTGGCACTCCTCCTATCCCGTTGCTCCTGGGAGTGACCCCTGAAGGCCTCCCGCTCACCGCTGTCCCAAATGCCTCCTTCCTCCCGGCCTGTTACCTGCCGCCTGATGTTTGCTGTTCCCGTCTTCCTCCCTTCCCTTTCTCCCGATTGACTGCCTTCACTCCGCTCCTGACTGCCGCTTCTCCCTTCTCTCATGTCCCCAGCAAACCTGGCGCTGTTCCCTTCTCTCACTCCTCCTACGATCCTGGCCACACTCTCCCTCCTTTATTCCCTCTAGTCCTCAGCACCTTCTGTCCTGTGTCTAATGCCGGCTGCCTCCTGCTGTGCCCTGCTGTCCTGGTCCCCTTCCCTGTCCTGTGAGACCGCAGTCTTGCTGCTGCCTGCAGTTCTCTCTCCCCCCTGCCCCTTAGGCGACTCAACGGGACGCCTTGAGCTGCTCCTGGGCCCTGCTGCTGCTGTCCTCTCCTCCCTCTCCAATCTGGCACCGGTGGTCTTAGTCGCCTGCCCGCCGGCCGGCATCCGGCAAGGGGTGCTCTTCGAGGGAGGCCTCTTCCTGGCCTGTGACCTCACTGCCCCGGCACTGCGCCTGACAGATGGCCCTGGCTGACGACCTGTTCCTCCTTGCTTTCCGGCCGCCATCTCCTGCATTTGTAGACTGCCTCCAGCCAAACTCCTCCGTTGTGCTGCTGGGCCTGCTCCCAGGCTGAGCGGCTGGGGCAGCCTTGTTCTTCTCTCCGGCCTCCGGTCCAGCACCGCATGGGAAGGAGCAGATGTGCTCGGGACCCCCAGGTGCTCCTGCAGCCACGCCATACCCTTCTCCTTCACCACCGACCGCACACCAGACAAGATCTCCTCCAGGGACGCCATGCTGCACCTGAAAAAGAAGAAAAGAAGAGCCCTGCCGACCTGCACAATTTACAGGTAAGTAAGGCTCAAGTTAAAATGGCCATTCCCTAAAATGGCCGCTATTTAACTTCTCCCCTCCCCCCCTCCCCCTGCATTACTATAGGTCAGCCCCTTGACCTACACTTCACCTGCCTACTCCTGGCTCTGTCAAGGCCCACTCCTCCCTGCGTTGCTCCGTGGTTTCAGAAGGAATAGTACTACTGCTGGTGGTGGATCAGGGAACAGGACACCTACCCTTTTTCTGTTTCATTTTGTGATTAGTATTTGGCATTAATGATGGTGGGTTTGTTTTTCTCAATAAATTAGGGATATTAATATTGGGTATTGTGTTAACTAACTAAACTAAAAAAAAAATGACAAACTATAAATTTGGTGATTCCAAGTTGGTGTTAAGTGGCAGAGGCTCAGAGTGTGACATATGATAAATATAACATAGACATAAACAACATCACACTCATTGCAACAACCACCCAGGTGCTCTGTAGATAGGTGGGGTGGGCAGTGCTAGGCTCTGTCTCTTGGGTAGACCCCACCCATCTCCCCTGAGAGGGTTAGTACTTGTATACATTTTTATTCTGCTTAAAATCCAATGCCCATTTTAAATAGTAAAGTTTACTGTCCTGTATTTATTTGAATCCTGATGAAAACACACACCAAAAACAACCTATATTGTGAATAATTTTGTGCTGTTTACACCAAAGGAAAACTTGTCATGAAACTTGTCCTAGATTACACAGCAACATTCAGGGATGCTACAAACCCAGACGTTCTGTGCACAACTCTACGTACAGCAAACAATTTGCAATTATCAGCTGATTCATAGATTAAATTTATGGCACTAAAACAGTTAACGTCTAATCCTTATAACAAACTTACAGTTTGTTC